ACAAAATGCAAGGTAAACTAGCTTAATAAGGGAAATTTCACTATTTAATGCAAATGGGGAAAAAAAAACAATAGGCAAAACTTAATCCAGGAGCTTTAGCAGTTTTATCTCTTCTGCCCTCATGTTTGTTTCATTTTCACCAAGTTCCTCCATCATAATTACAAGATGACTACTCTCAGGTCCTGGAGCTGGATGTTTTTGAATATCACAAATAGGGAGAATCTGCTTCCTAGAGACCCTATATAAAACTTACACACTAATGAATCTGGCTGGCCCATTATAAAGCCAGATTTATGTATATTTGTATGTATTTATTTATTTTTGGTATTGGGGATTGAACCATGGGGCTCTTAACCACTGAGTGACATCCCCAGCCCTTTTTATTTTTTATTTTGAGACAGGGCATTGCTAAGTTGCTGAAACTGGCCTTGAACTTGTGATAATCCTGCTTTAGCCTCCTGAATTACTGGGATTACAGGTGTGTTCCACGGTGCCCAGTGGAATCAGATGTTAAACTGACATATTTTCCTAATAGCATATGTAGTTACAAGTGATATGTATTTCTGAGAAGTACAGATTATAGAAGTGGCTTCAGTAAGGAAAAGATATTAAGCCTGAAACCTGAAGAGTGAATTAGTGCTTGCTGGGAGAAAAGGAAGTCAGGGTTATCTTTGCGAACAGTCATTAGGCCAGTTAGGTAAATTACAAAATGGAAAAAGGCCTGAGGAATCTGGAGCAGAGAATGTAGGAGAATGGTCAAGGTCAAATCATGTTGATTTTTTAAAAAAAATTTTATTCTTAGAATGTTGTGATATGAATGAATTTTAAGCTGGACAGAAGGTAGCATGATTTATTTTTAAAAGGTTACTGTGATTTCAGAGTAGCGAATAGATTGGGTGAGAGTGAGATTACTGTCACTTGAATTAGGGGACAGTTGAACACCACCAGACTGAGGTGGAGGAACAAGTTGTTGTTGTTTTTTAAATATTTTTTTAGTTATACTTGGACACAATATCTTTATTTTGTTTATTTATTTTTATGTGGTGCTGAGGATCGAACCCAGTGCCTCAAGCAATCTGCCACTGAGCCACAACCCCAGCCCAAGGAGCAAATTGTTAAAGTAACCACCATAGTTACTGAGTCTGGATTCCATGACATACTCTATCTGTATCTAGACAGACACACACACACACACACACACACATACTCACACACACAGTATCTGTAAAATCATGTTAAAGGTGGGTGATGTTACCTCCATTTTATAGATGAGTAAGATTAAAGGTGCTTAAAGTGATTTAGCTAGGTCCACACTGATATCTGAATTCATATTGGCATGAATCCTTTAAACTGGCTCTCTCTATAAAAGTATAGTGTGATGTTGTCTTTCATGAGTTTCATGAGTATATTTGCTTTATCTAAGCAGTGTAACTATGACCTTGTGTCTCTCAGCACTACTAGCTATTGCTAAGAACAACTTTTTCTGTAAAAAGAATTTTAAAAAGGTCAGTGGCAGTATGCTCCAAGTTATTGCCATTCTTTGAGCCTTGTGTCCAAATAGATTCAGCATAAAAGTATAGCATTGCATTTGTTCATTTCCTTTAAACAACCCCTACCTTTTATTTCTTGAGCAGAGAAAAGTAAGGTTAGAAGCTGACTTTCTCATAATAATTCTATAATCTATTTGAAGTGGTTCTTGTTTGAGCTGCTTCAGGTGTCAGCAACTACCTACCCTCTACTTTATTTACTTGACTTTTATGTGTGGTATTGATCTCCTTTCTGCTAGGATTTTATCACCCGTGCAGGTGATGTCTTATTTCTTAAAGTCGTTCAGTTTTTATTTAATTACAGAATTCTAGAGCTTCATCCTTTGAAGGCCTAGTCTTACCATCATGAACATTGTAGTTTATTTTATTCCTTTGTTGTTTCTTCATTATTCGTAACAAGTAAACACTGCCAGAATTCTCTTTTGTTTGTTTGGTTTTGTATTTTCCTGAGGTCAAATCTGAATTTTGTTTTAAATAATGTATGTTGTGAGTTTTTCAAATCTTTCTAGTTTCCTAAAGAGGAAAATCATACCCAGATTTGCAAGGAAAATTTTATGACAGTGTCTGTAGAGTTAACTCTTTCACCACATCTTTTCACCAGATGTGTGTGCCCTTTACTTTGATGTTACAGGTTTCACTTTAAGGACTGTTAATTTTTTGTTGTTGTTAAGGTGTTTTTTTTTTTTTCAATATTTACTTTTTAGTCGTAGTCGGACACAATATCTTTATTTATTTTTATGTGGTGCTAAGGATCAAACCCAGGGCCTCACACGTGCTAAGCGAGCATTCTACTGCTGAGCCACAATCCCAGTCCTGTTAAGATTTTTTTAAGACAGACACAATGTCTTTATTTATTTTATTTATTTTTATGTGAGCTGAGGATCAAACCCAGTGCCTCATATGTGTGAGGCAAGCATTGTACCACTGAGCTATAAACCCAGCCCCGAGGACTATTAATTTTGATACTAGGGATTGAATCCAGGGAGGCTTTACCATTGAACTACTCCCCTAGTCCTTTTTATTATTTATTTTGAGACATGATCTTATTAAGTTGCATAGGATGTCCTTGAACTTTTGAATCTTTTGGCCTCAGCCTCCTGATTTGCTGGAATTACAGGCATGTGCCACTGTACCCAGTTTAAGAACTGTTTTTTGTTGTTAGTATTTTGTTCTGAATACTAATACTTAGCCCTGTCTTAAAACATTTTTTAATATAGAGGACTGCACTCTCTTATCCATGATTCTAATATCCCGGATGCTTGAAAAATGAAGTTTATTTTCATATATTTAGCACCAAAATTCATTTGGCAACACCATTTCTTTTCTTTTTCTTTTTTTTTTTTTTTTAGGAGAGAGAGAGAAAGAAAGAATTTTTAAACATTTATTTTTAGTTTTCGGTGGACACAACATCTTTATTTTATGTGGTGCTGAGGATCGAACCCAGCGCCGCACGCATGCCAGGCAAGCACGCTACCACTTGAGCCACATCCACAGCCCTTTTTTTAAAAAAAAATTTTTTTTAGTTATACATGGACACAATATCTTTGTTTGTTTATTTATGTTTATGTGGTGCTGAGGATCGAACCCACGTCTCACACATGAGAGGCGAGTGCTTTACCGGCTGAGCCACAACCCCAACCCTGGCAACACCATTTCTGACATGAGTGTACATAATCTTTGTTTATTCCAGTTAGTTTGTCATGTTTCATTGTGTTTAGTTATGGGCTGCTACACCCCCTCATCTCCTTAGCAGTGTTATATAATTTATGGTATATATTAGCTTTCCAAAATAAAAAATATATATGTCTGAAATATTTGGCCTGAGTGTTTTGGATCAGGGATTATGGGCCTGTATATACATATCAATAGCAGTGATCACAGTGTGATGTGGCAATTTGTTCCCTTGTCTATCTTCCTCATTAGGCTATGAGCTAGAAAACCTTTGCTTTTTGGATCCATCACCTTTATCACCCTACACAGAGTAGGTGCTTAATATTGAAATTGAATCCTCAACAAGTAGGTTATTGAACATGGATTTTATTTGTTTCTTGGTTTTCCTATGTTCCCTTTTTTTTCCCAGCGATCTCTTTCCTGTTCTTCTGTTTTCTTGATTCTCACTGAAATCTTGGCTTTACCATTTTCTGTGTGATTTGTCTTTGTTATTGTTTTTTGGAGGTATTAGGGATTGAACTCAGGGGCACTCAACTACTGAGCCACATCTCCAACCTATTTTGTATTTTATTTAGAGACAGGGCCTTACTGAGTTGCTAGTGCCTCCTCATTAATGAGGATGGCTTTGAACTTGTGATCCTCCTGCCTCAGCCTCCTGAGCTTCTGGGATTATAGGTGTGCAACACTGCATCCAGTTATTCCCAGACCTAATATTCTATACAGTGACATTTTTACCATTTTTCTTAGGTATATAAACACATTGTCTTTAAGTATAATAGGACTACCTTTAAATACTACAGCCCTTATGCTTACTTTTAACAATTTTTTACTATTTTTGTTTTCTGTTTTAAAACTGTTCTTATTTGAAGCTTTTATTTTAACATCATCTAGTTTCTTGATTTTCAATTATTTTATTCAGTTTTTTGCTAGTCAGTCTGATATTTTATACTATGCTCTTTAATACAAGTGATTCCACGGGGTTTATATTTTAAAATGCACCTTGTGTATAATTCTCTTTTCTTTTTCTTAATATTCAAGCAACTGACCAGAAAAAAAAAATCAACATTAGGCTTTAGTGGTAAAATGTTAGTGTCATTTTCTTGATGAAAGGACAGTAAAAAGGAAAGACAAACCAATAGTGCCTATCAGAAATTTTTTTAATAGTTTATTTTGTTAGGAACGGGAAAGTAAAATCTGATTATGATTGGAAAGGAAAATAATATGTTGTTTGAGATGATTATTATGTACCTAAAATTCTAGAAAATTAGAATTAATATATATTTATTCAAGTTGCTTCATGCAAAATAATTCAGAAGCCTATTTAATTTGTGTTTAATGATCTTATTATAGGTTTAGATATAACAAATCATGGCAGTCTATTAGCTTCACAGATCAGATTTAATTTGATATAGCAATACACAAGAGGATAAATATTGTTTATTTGAACCTGTGTGTGTGTTCCCTATTTTTTCTTATACATTTGTAAAGTTTGTGCAAAATAAGATAGAATGTTTACAAAATGTATTTGTGATACTTCTGTATTTTTCTTGACTTAAATGTTAGATAATGATTGGGATTGAGGAATTATTTTTTTCTTTACATATATGAGAATGATTTTTATATCCATTTTCTTCATAATAGCCTCTTTCTAGATTGTTAGGCTAATAAAACATGTTTAAATCAAAGGAGTATTAACCAATTAAGAAATCAAATTGGTGTTACATAGAACATTTTCCAGAGATAGGAAGTCATCACTGTGTTCATCATCTTTTTGTTTTGCAGTGGGACTTCCCCTCTTGCCTGCCTGAATGCAATGCTCCACACAAACTCCCGAGGTGAAGAGGGTATCTTCTATAAAGTTCCAGGTAGAATGGGAGTATATACTTTAAAGGTAAATATTTGTGTTGGGGGCTAATTTTTAATTAAACAGCAAGCAGCAGTATATAAATAATATTTGAGCCGTAGAGGCAGAATTCTGTTTTTGAAGAACTTATTTTCAATGGGTGGTAATATTTTCAAACTGTACCAAATATATATAATTGTTGTTGCTGGGGGTTCAACCCAGGGCCTTATTTATGCTAAGTACATACTCTATCAGCCCCCATCCCCAGTACTTACTTATTTATTTATGTATCTATTTATTTTTACTAATCTGTAACTGTCTATAGATAGATCAGACAAACAACTTTATTTTTTTTTTTTTTAAGAGAGAGTCGAGAGAGAGAGAGAGAGAGAGAGAGAGACTTTAGTATTTATTTATTTATTTTTTAGTTCTCGGTGGACACAACATCTTTGTTTGTATGTGGTGCTGAGGATCGAACCCAGGCCGCACGCATGCCAGGCGAGCGCGCTACCGCTTGAGCCACATCCCCAGCCCAAACAACTTTATTCTTTATAATTTTCTGGGATGGGGGCATGTACTGGAGATTGAACTCAGAGACTCTTTACCACTGAGCTACATAGCCCCAGCCCTTTTTATGTTTTACTTTGAGACAGGGTCTAAGTTGCTTAGGGCCTAAGTTGTTATTGCCTCAGCCTCCTGAGACAGGGATTACTGTTGTGTGCCCCTGTGCCCAGTAATCCTTCAAAAGAATTTTTTCTTTATTGAAAAGATAATAACTTTTTTTTTTAATGGGGTCTTATTACAATTCTCAGGCTGATTTCAAACTCCTCAAGAGATCCTCTCCTACCTCCGCTTCCTGAGGCTATTGTGTGCACTGATGCCCAGCTCCCAGTGATTCTTTAAAAGAACTGTACAACATTTCAGTGATAATTGGGTTTTACTTTAGAGCATACTGCATAGATGCTTTACATTACTTTTATTTAACTGTATACTACAATCACACTTATTTCTTTTTTGTAATGGAGAAAACCAAAGTTCTGAAGACTGAATTTTCTTGACGGGTGTTAGCCAGTTAATTTCAGAATCAGAATATGAACCCAGAATTGACTTAACTTCCAAACCATGCTCTTTTTACCATAATAAGCTGGCTAATGTCTAATTCCAACAGTGAGAAAAGGAACCTTTACTTACCAATATCCTTCTGCTTACAAATAGGAAAACCACTTCAAATGAGCTTCAATAAGAAGAGAATTTATTAGTTCATGCAACTCAAAATCTAAGGAAGCTCAGGCTAGATCCTGGTGCTTAAATGACATCATCAGGACTTGGTCACGCCACTTCCTTTTGGCTTCGTTTTCAGTCAGACTTTTCACATCATTTATGACTTCACTCCTAGTCCCTACTCTGCAGTCTCTAATTTTGGAGGGAGAAGAGTCCAGGAACTACAGCCAAAACCTCCCACTTAATTTGAACTTGTCTTAATTAGTTTGGCCTACCCATGTGACCATACCTGAATGGCTTTTACCAAATCCATAGGTTCTTCGTATTGGTTTAATGTGGGGTTGAGATTAAACCTGCAACAGGCAGGTGAATTGAGGAGAAGAATTATTTTCCACAGGAGGTTTACCAGCAGATGAAAAATTAATGGTTGGAAGTCAGTGACTGTGTTTGTATCTGTGTGGGACTCTCCCTCTCTACTTTTTTGCACTGAACTAAAGTCATCACAAGTTCCATGGTTGTATGTAGCCCATTATTATTAAAAATATCTAACCTCCCTGTAATACCTTCTTTTTTGTGTACTGTGATTAACTTACTAGTGTTATAGGACTTTATTCACTATATGGAACTTTCTGCTTTTCTTTGATTTCTTAGCTGTTTTAGATCTTCCCTAATTTATTATTCTCAGTATATTTCTGTCATCCAGTGTGGTGGTTTCTTTCCCCACACACAAAGCAGTTTTCCATCATACACCAACTGGGGTGTACCCCCTCATTTCGTTCAGTTCATAAACTGTCAGACTGACCACCCACCTCCCGCCCATTCCTCCAACTTCAAATCCTAGTTATGTGTTCTAAGTTGTGGCCTGTACTTGTGACACAACACTTGGAATTGGGGTTCTTATGAGTCTTTCCTTGGATTCATTTAATTTGTTAAGATGGCATAAGTTTGGAAACATTTTAATTTACCCATTTATTTAAAAAGATAATAAGAAGGATACAGATGAATAGTCAGATGGAAAAGTTGCATAGACTGAGGTGTGGGAGAAGGGACATAGAACTTCCATGAATTCTCCAGAAGTACATATGAACTTCAGGCCTTTTGGGTTTTTATGGAGGTTTATTTCATTGGCCATTGGTAATCATCTCAATCTCCAGCCCTTCTCTCTTCCTGGGAGATTTTGTCTGAAAGTTCCAGCTTTCTCATTACATAGTTGGTTGGCTCCCTTGTCAGAGACTGTCCGGGGTCCCATCAAGAATTATCTTATGAGGCCAGGCAAGGTGGCTCATGCTTGTAATCCCAGTAGCTCAGGAGGCTAAGGCAGGAGGATCATGAGTTCAAAGCCAGCCTCAGCAATTTAGGAAGACCCTTAGCAACTCAGACCTTGTCTCTAAATAAAATACTTTAAAAAGGACTAGGGATGTAGCTCAGTAGTAAAGCACTCTTGCGTTGAACCCCTGGTACCCCCAAAACAAAAACAAACCAAAAACCAGAATCATCTCATTAGAACAAAAGATACTACCATTACCCAGGAGAGTCCAAGAAACTTGGGAGCTGTGTCAGACATTCCTATCACTAAAGAAGTTACAGAAGTCTTACGAGCTCTGTTAGGAACTGGGGTCCAAGACCAAATTTCAGAATAAAAGATTCTTGTACTGCCAGTATTTCTTAGGAAATTGCAAGAGTTTGGGAGCTCTATGTCAGGAACCATGGTCACAGACCAAATAATGTATTTATTTTATCAAAATATGGCTTCTGGGGCTGGGGTTGTAGCTCAGTGGTAGAGCACTCACTTAGCATGTGCGAGGCCCTGGGTTCAATCCTCAGTACCACATAAAAAATAAATAAATAAAATAAAGGTATTGTGTCCACTACAACTGAAAAATCAATATTCTAAAAAAAATGTGGCTTCTATGCTAAAAAAAAAATGGAAATTATAAAAAGATAAACTGTAGTCTTGATCTCTGAAGCTCACATTGTAGTTATTGAAATAAATGTATGTTCAAAAAAAATGTAATGTGCTGTAAAGTATTGTGAAAATTAAGTGAAAAAAGTGTTCAAATAAAGAGATCCAAAAAGTTGTTGTTATTAACTTGTAAGATTTTAATTGGACTTTGGACAGATAAATAATGGTAGTGAGGGCTTTGTGGACATGAGAATAGCCCAAGCAAAGGTACAGATAAGATTCAGAATGGACTTGAAAGTAGTGAAACTTGGAGTAGTTAGACCATAATCTGTGTATGAGCTTCTGTGGTAAGGAGTCTTCAACGTATAGTAAAAATAGGTGGAGATCAAACTTTTGAGGCCTTTGAACCTGACTGAGTAGTTTGGCATATGTGTGTATGTGTGTGTTTGTGTGCTGAGTAGATGGCATAGGTTTTATAGGAGAATGGCTTGATCAAATCTGTGTTTAAGAAGATAATTCAAGTAGGATAGTTTTCAGAGCAAAGCAGGAAAAAAAGCTGGTTATAGTTGTCTGGAGGAGAAACTCAGACCCTAAAGAAAGACAATGGTAAAAGAGATGAAAGCAAGGGACATTAGAGAAATAGAATGTTTTGTATTTGGAGTGGGTTAAAGCGGGTGTGTGTGAAAAGATGCTAAGATTTGGGACATGAGCAGTTGATCCCAAAGGGATCACAAGTTTTTTACAAAAAGAAGATAATTATATTTGTATTTCAGATACTTGTTGAACCTTCAGGTCAAGATGTCTGGCTGGCAACTAACTCTATAAAAGCTGTCCTGCATTTTGAAGGAAAGAATAGAAAATTATGGGGTCTGTATTTTAAGAAAGTGTATAACATAAAAGATGGCTTAGAGAGAAATGGCTCAGGGCATAAATTTAAGTGGAAAATAACTGTTTCTTCCTAGATTAGAGTTTATACAGTCTTGGATATAATGTCATGGATGCCAGTTATGTCTTAGAGGGGTCGTGTCTTGTGTCTGTCAGTATTATTTGATTACAAAACCAAATTATATGGGAAGATGAAATATTAGTGGGTGAAAATCCGTAGTCTTATATCTTAGAAATAACTTTCAGTAGTTTGTTGATTTATACATATGTATTTTTTTAGTACATAAATACCTAGTAACTAATATTTATTGAGCTCTTATGTCAGGCACTATTCTAAGCATTTTTATATTTATTAGCTCATTTAATTTCCAAGTGATCTTTTAAGGTAGGTATTTTTATACCTTATAGAGATTAAGTTATGAGAGGTTGAGACTTTGACCAAGGCTTAACAGTTAAGAGAAAATAAAGATAGAATATCTTTGTTTTCCTTGTCCTTGATCTTTGTTATTGTTGTTGTCATTCTAATTAGTTATACATGATATGAATGTATTTGACACATCGTGCATAAATGGAATATAACTTCTCATTCTTCTGGTTATATATGATATAGAATCACACCAGTCATGTACTCATGTATGCACATAGGATAATAATGTCCAATTCATTCTACTATCTTTCCTATCCCCATCTTGTCCTTGATCTTATAACCACATTATTCTCTCTCACATACTCAGCTGACACTTTTCTTTTATGATTAGCATTCTCTTTATTAAATGCTGAAACCAAAAAGACTTGATATGATTTTTTTCCCTTTATTTATTTATTTTTACATGGTGCTGAGGACCAAACCCAATGCCTCACAGGTACAAGGCAAGTGCTCTATTGCTGAGCCACAACCCCAGCCCTGATAAAATTATTTAAAAAAATTATTTTTTTCTGTTTGACCCTTGGCACTTATTAGCCTATATTCAAGAACCAATATGATTAAAGTAATATACTATCTCTTGCTATCCAGAAGCTAATTCTCTAATAGAATTCAGAATACATGGTGGTGAACACAAAAACACACAATTGTACATATATTTAACAAAATAGTTATTAAATAGTTTTTTTTTTTTCATTCTGAATATTTTATCATTTACCTGGACTTAGATCTACCTAATTTCTGTCTAAATTTAGCCTGTGTATTGTGCCCGCTCATGACTATTTTGTATAATTTTTATCTTTGGATGTAAATAGAAACATTAACTTATTTGAGCCAAAAAGGGAGATGGCAAGAAATCAGATAACTTTGCTTAATCTGCTGTTTTGTTTTATAATACTAAAAATTAGTGCAACTAAGTTGCAACATTGCATATCAGAAATTTAATGCCTGTTTGTGAAAATGGTAATAATTAATCCTAATTGGATGCCTACATTTTCAGAAAGATGTGCCGGATGGGGTGAAAGAGCTATCAGAAGGTTCAGAAGAAAGCAGTGATGGTCAGTCAGATTCCCAGAGTTCTGAGAACAGCAGCAGCAGCAGTGACGGTGGCAGCAACAAAGAGGGGAAAAAGAGCAGGTGGAAAAGGAAAGGTAAATCTTCCTGATCCTTCAATAAAGTATTGCATGCTATAGGACAAACATTCTTTTAGTAATTACTCTTTTCCCACACCCAGTCTCTTGCTCTTTCCTCTAGATCAGTACTCTCCATTAATTTCCTGCAATGATGGAAATGTTTCTATCTATACTGTCTAGTACAACACAGTGGCCACTAGTCTCATGGACTTGTTACTTCCAGTGTGAGGAATACTTTTAAAAAATACTTTCTTTTGGGGGCCAGGTTTAGGTTCGCAGAAGAACTCAGTGGAGAGCCAGGCACAATGGCACACACCTGTCATCCCAGGGACTTGGGAGGCTGAGGTGGGAAGATAAGAAATTCAAGGCCAACTTCAGCAACTTATCGAGACCCTGTTTTAAAATAAAAAGTGCTGGGGATGTAGCTCAGTGGTAAAGTGCCCCTGGGTTAAATCACCAGTACTTAAAACAAAAACAAATAAAAAAACTCCCCACCCCCATGTATGCATTGTTTTGCCCCCTTTCAAGATCTCCCACAAGACTGGTACATTTTTTTTACAGATGATAAACCTACGCTGGCACATCATTATCACCCAGACTCCATGGTTTACATTAGAATTCACTCTTAGTGGTATACATTCTAAGGCTTTAGAAAATAATGTATAAAAAGACATGTATTCACCATTAAAGTATATAGAATAGTTTAATTGTCCTAAAAACTCTTCTGTGCTCCATCTCTTCAACCCTCTCTCCCTGATAGCCCCTAATATTCACTACTCTTTCTACCGATTACAAAGTTTTTACCCTTTCTAGAATGTCATGTAGTTGAAACATTGTCAGATTGGCTTCTTTGATTTAGTAATATGCATTTTAGATTCCTCCCTGTCTTTTCATAGCTCGATGGTTCATTTCTTTTTAGCATAGTTTATCCCTTTTCCAACTGAACATTTCAGGTTGCAGTTACAAATAAAACTCTGTGCAGTTTTTGTGTAGGTATAAGTTTTCAATTCCTTTGGGTAATTACCAAGGACTATAATTAATAGATCATATGGTAAAAGTGTTGTTTATTTTCATAAACTACCAAAGTGGTTGTACCGTTTTGCATTCCCATCAGCAGTGAATAGGAGTTCCTATTGGCTTTTCAGCCTCACCAGCATTTGGTGGTGTCAGTGATCTGGATTTTGGCCATTCTATTAGGTGAATAGTGGTATCGCATGTTTTAATTTGCATTTCTCTAATTACACTTAATGTGGGACATCTTTTGTGTTTTTATTTGCCCTCTGTATGTATTCTTTGGTAAGATGTCTATTCAGGTCTTTGACCTATTTTTTATCAGGATTTTTGTTATTGAACTTGAAGAGGTTTTTTTAATATATTTTGAGTAGTAGACCCTTTTTTTGTTTGTTTGTTTTATTTTTTGGTTAAGGGATTGAATGCAGAGTTGCTTAACCAGGAGCCACATTCCTAGCCCTTTTTATTTTTTGAGATGAGGTCTCACTAAGTTGTTTGGGGCCTCACTAAGTTGCTGAGGCTGACTTTGAATTTGCGATCCTCCTGCCTCAGACTCACAGGCCACTGGGATTATAGGCATGAGCCACCATACCCAGCAGCAGTCTTTTGCATGTGTTTTCTCCAAAACTGTGTTCTTTTTAGTTTCCTGCAGTTTGTTTTCATAGAGTATAAGTTTTTCATTTGAATGCAGGCTAGCTTATCCATCCTTTGTTTTATGGATGGTATCTTTGGTCTCGTATTTAAAATTCATCATCATCAAACTTGGGGTCACATAGATTTTTTTTTCTATTATCTTTTATAATTTTGAGTTTTGTTTTTAGGTCTGTGATCCATTTTGAGTTAATTTTTGTGAAGAGTGTAAGGTCTGTCTTATTCATTTTTTGGTATGTGGATATCCAGTTAGAAACTGATTTTATTTTATTTAAATTTATGTATTTGGTACTGGGAATTGAACTCAGGGTCACTTGACCACTGAGCCACATCCACATCCCCAGCCCTATTTTGTATCTTTTATTTAGATACAGGGTCTCACTGAGTTGCTTAGTGCCTGGCTTTTGCTGAGGCTGGCTTTTTTTTTTTTTTTTTTTTAATATTTATTTTATAGTTGGACATAATACCTTTATTTCACTCATTTATTTTTTACATGGTGCTGAGGATCGAACCCAGGGTCCCATGCGTGCGAGACGAGCGCTCTACCGCTGAGCCACAACCCCAGCCCTGAGGCTGGCTTTTAAATTCTCAATCCTCCTATTTTAGCCTCCTGAGCCGCTGAGATTAGAGGTGTGCATCATCATGCCCAGCATGATTTTATTTTTTGAACCCAGAGATACTTTACCACTTAGCTACATATCCAGCCTTTTTATTTTTATTTTTTCTAGACAGGGTCTCACTAAGTTGCTTATGGCTTCCCTAACATGCTTAGGCTGACCTGGAACTTGTGATCCTCCTGCCTTAGCCTCCCAAATTGCTGAGATCACAAGTATGTGCCACCATGGTCAGCTAGAAACTGAATTTTTAATTTAAGATAAAATTAAATAGCTAAATGTTGGATACCATCCATAAAACTTCAAGTGTTATCTGGTTTTGCTCTCATGGTGATTAACCATTCATAGCTTTTTTGTTTTTAAGACTTATAAAACATGCTGTGATCCTCAGGTCTAAACTTTGAGCACCTACTGCTGTAACAGTTCGCTCTCTAGTAGGAAAAGAATGCTTTTTATTTTTACCAGCAAACACCAAATTTAGTCTGCTTGTCTTTGCTCTCCTCATGTTTGGTGTCTACTTGATAGCTCACCCAGAAAGCTTTCTTGAGGGAATAATGTCTGCTTTGCAGCAGCTTCACTGGAAAAGATATTCCAATTAAGGACACATTTTATTACCTGTTCCTTCCAGTTACTCTGTCAGAGGGTAAATCCTTTTTTTTTTTTTACTCCAATATTTAATTTAGCTGTATATAGCAAGGCAAATTTTAAGTCAACTCTTGAATCATTTACAAAGATACTGATATTCCTGAGTAAAATAGATTTTCCTTGGCTTGAAGATCCTCTTAGATTTGAGTGATAGGTGAGCCATCTTTGAATCTAGTAGCTAAGATTATATTTCCCAAAATACTAGGCTCATTAATTTGAAGTGCTTTCAGAACTGTTAATGGGCCTATATCAAGAAACAGTTCTAAGCTAGACTCACTGGCACACGACTGTAATCCCAGTGGCTCAGGAGGCTGAGGTGCTAAGCAACTCAATGAGACCCTGTCTATAAATAAAATACAAAATAGGAATGGGGATGTGGCTCAGTAGTTGAGTGCCCCTGAGTTTAATCCCTGGTACCCCCTCCCCCTGCCCAAAAAAAAAAAAAAAAGTAATTCTGATAAATTACCATCACTGTTAATGTGTGTGTTTTTCCTGAAGAGAATTGAGATAATTGGTGTCCGCATATGTGCTCTCTGGCTCTGGCTTAGATATTATATGTGCAATGCAGGCAAACTTTGTAATCAAAGTATTTTACTTTAAAGACCACAACCATTTGGAGAGCCATCCAGACCTCACTTGTTAAGGACAAATGGAATGAAAGCAAGACAAATTGAGGCCTCTGAGCATAATCCTTGATGTATAATTTTAAGTTGTCCCTGCCAGTAGTGAAAGAGGTGTGGTTTGGGACTTTCTAGTCCCCGTTTTTGGAAGTATAAAGCCCAAACTGTAAACACCCTTTAATCTCTTCTCCCCAGTTTTAACTTTTTAAGTTTGGAAATTGTAGATCGAAGATTAGGAGCCAACTAAGTCACTGGGCAATGGAAACGGTTACTAAGAATCATATTTTTTGGATGGAATTGGGAATAGGAAAATCAGTATTAAAGGAGTAAACTGTGAACAAAATCATTGTATTTTTAAGAGTTTGAGGTAAATGTATTAAGATACAGAAAGATCTAAGAAATGGAATCCTATTATGGTAAGTATCTTGGTAGGTAGATTTGAATAGCATAACCTGTGCTCTACACTGCATAATAATAGACTTGAACAACAAGGCAAATATCAAGTTCAAAATTATTTTTGAGCTGTTTTTGATTTATTTTTCCCCCTAGAAATCATTGCATTATTGTTATTTTTTAAATATTTTTTTTAGTTGTCAGTGTACCTTTATTTATATGTGGTGCTGAGAATTGAACCCAGTGCCTCATACATGCTAGGGAAGTGCTCTACCACTGAGCTACAACCCCAGCCCTAGTACTCATTATTTATTCTTGGATTACAGTAAGATGTTACATATTTATGAATGTTTTTGTACTCCAGTAAGAAATTAAAGTGACAGGCCTTACAATCTGTAGCCAGCAGTGACAGACCTTACAATCTGTAGCCAGCAGTGACAGTTGCAGCATGCAGCAAGGCAGTTCTAAATCAGTTGCAGTTATCAACAAAGGGAAAGCAAATTTATTGTGCCTATTCCTTTTTCTTACTTAGGGTTTATTCTCAATCTGACATCACTTTATTTCAAATGCATTGTAAGACAGGAAGAACACTGAGATAGTATCAAAACCCACTTCCTTTTATGTACAAAAATAAAGAGTTCTGACAGCAAAACTGATACTTGTAGTTGAAAATCAATAGAAACTCTCTAGAATAATGTATGCCTTTAAATAAGAACAGAGAATAGAACTTTGAAATTCAGTCCAGTATTAAAACTAACTTAAAGTAGAGAAACTTAAAACGTAGTTGTAATTTTTAGTTTTTAGACAGGAAACAATGTTCAGAGAAGAACTTTATGGAAATTCAAGCCAAGGTAAGGTGGAATAACTCCAGAGAAATAATTATTAAAATCATCTGTTTTCTTTGCTTTTTTATAATTTGCAGTTACATGAAGCTTCTGCCTTTTTCTTAGAATGAAATAAAAATACTGCAGTTTGAAGCCACTGCAGGGGTATTATTTTTATCTTTTGAAAGAGAAAAGTTTTGTTAGGTTTTGGTCTGCTTTTAAAGTATCTTAAGAAAACAATCAGTTATATGAAATATTCC